TCTGGTGTCAATAAGTAGCAAACTCACTGACTGCACAAGTATTGCTCTTATTTCACACTGGAGAAAACATAGGTAGGATCTGATTCTTGTAACAGTCTCCTGTGCCTCATGAACGTTGCTGAACAGATGCTTTGAGAATACCCTGCAGCCCACAGAACCTGGAAGTTAATTAGAAAGTGTAAAGAAGCCAACTAACTTTCAATTGCTTGAAATGAAAGGCATTTTAATTTCAACTGCTGTCCTGGAGTCGATCAGTCTTTCTACATCTTTCCTTGCCTTTCTATGCGATGCAGCTGGAGCGAGCCCTTCTCCAGCAGCATTCCCGTTTGGAAGCAGCTGTCTCTGCTCATGTAGCTGCTCTTAGATTGGCTGGAAGGCACTTGCTTCCACTGCTAATATTTTCTTGTCCATCTTGCAGAGATGACCGATTCCAGTAGCAGCCCCATGCACTGGTTTAACGGGGTTGCTCCCTTAAGCTGTACTTCGGCACTGCTGTTCCTTGCTGAGCCCTGGTTTTCTGTCTCTGCTCCCACAGCCGCCCCCGCCCCCTGCCATCAAAATGCAGCGCAGGATTTCAGCTGCTGACTAACTGCTGGCTCTGGTTGCGCAACTGGAGAATTTTATGTGTCCTCCTGCTCCTTCTTTTGTAGCACAGCCCAGTCGTCTTGCTTCCTGATTCCTCCCTCCACATCTTAAATTGCAGTTTATGTGCTTGGTTGCTGCTTGTTTCAAAATGAAACCAAGAAATATAAATGCTGTCTGCGTTGTCACCTGTGATTCTGCAGTTCAGGCAGTGTCCAAGGGAGCTTTAACACTGTGCTTCCTCTCATAAACGTTATCAGCTGCTTTTTAGAGACATTTCTGTCTGCTGTTCCCTCTGTTTCACTATTCCCTCTGGAGATTGTCCTCATCTCATTTGCCTTATGATAAAACAGCAAAATAGGTCAAATGGAGGATGTTAACTTCCCAGCAGTAGGAACTCCTCTCTGACAGCAGTTTGGAACAGGCAGTAAGTTTGCAGACAGAAAAGCTTCTTCCTCTGGTGCCAAAACTCCAGGTGGCTTCTCTCATCTTGTTTCACTCATCTTGTTCCTCACCTGAGGAACTTTGAAAAAGTTCCCTCCCTTTTTTACCCTGAGAGAGGCTGAGGATAGCACCATATTTTGCTTCAAATGATGCTTTCTTTCTCCTCTTTGTCTTATCACTGCTTCTCCCCTTCGGTGGCATCCTGTTTTCAAACAAAGCCAAAAAATGCTGTTCTCCTGCATATCTGCATTGTGTGTTCATCAGGTCATAGGCAACTGCTGAGTGACCACAATGCTTCAGAGATGTTTGGTTTTCCTTGCCTTTGGTGCCCATACTTGAAGGATCCCATGGTGGTAGGTGTGGGACAAACACAGTCCCACACCTACAAAATTTGTGACCAAGGAGAGACTGTGTTGCCTCATTCAGATGTTCAAGGATGGGACTTGCTGCTCTGGGTCTATGGCTGCCTGCATGCTGCCTTCTCTCTTTCCAAGGAAAAGAGAGAAGGCAGGAATCCTGCAGGAATCCAGGTGTATTCTTGTTTTCCCAGCAATAAATCTTTTGGGGAAAAAATGGTGGCTATCTCTATGCAACAAGCCCAATACCAAATACTGTACCATTTCTTATGGAGCTGCATAGAGGGAGCTCACTGCTCTCTGTGGGAAGATGGCACACTACAGGTCACTTCTGTGAAGGGCAAAAAAACCATCTCCTCCAAGTGCTGAGGGCTGAAAATACAGCAGAGCACCTCTAGAAGAGATAGGTGGGGTCAGAAGGAGCTGAGGAGGGAAGGTGGTGGTGGTTGAGAGGGCCCAGGGGCAGGGTAGATTGTGGATTGCAAGATGACCTTTTAGCAGTTGTGAAAACTTTGTGGCAGAGGAAGAAAAGAGTCTGGGAATGAAGTAGTCATAGGATTTTTCTCCAAACTTTTGTGAAGGAACAGCAAAAAAAGTGCAGGCAAGCAGTGAGGGGCACAGTCTTTACTCCAAACTCATGTATTAAGGAGGGGGCAACCAAAGGAAGAGGAAAATGTTTGCCTGTTGGGGAGGATGTAACCCAGTAGGTGGCTGTGACTGCTGTGGGAGAACCAAATTGTTCCTAGCTGGAAATAAGAAGTTATTTGAGTCTCCATCTGGCCTAAGAACATATAGAGCAGGGGCACAATAGGATTAAATGTTTAGGAAAAGAACCAGGAGGTGTATGAGTAGGCTTTGTCATAGAAACAGTAGGCAAAGCAGAGAGGGAAGTAGTGGGGATGTGTAATGTGCATGGCTTTGTCCAGGAAAGGAGAAGTTGTATTTCATGCCATGAAGGGCCAGAACTTTGGGAACCAGTTTAATCCACCATCTGTTTCCACTTGAAAAAGTTTGATTTAATAGCCAGGGTGCTTTCCCCCTTCTTAAAATAGGAAAATGAAGGCAGAAGTGCTGTGTCTCCCCTGATGCTCTGTGTTTCTCCCAGCTGTGTTCCTCACTGCAGCATCCCAAATTCCATCCTTCATGTTGGCCTATTCAGGAGTCAGAGGACAGATAACAAGTCCTGGTCCAGGTGTCCTGAGCTGGAGGCTGGTGACAGGGTTGGGGCTGTGGGCTGGCATCATACATTCCCTTCCCAGGGCTAAGTGAGAGGTGATTCTCTGATTGTGACCTTCCTCTGCACCCGTGTGTGAAACAGCTCTAGCAAAAATGAAATAAACCCACAAGTATTAGTAGAAATAGGCTGGCTCTTGGATCCACCTAACATTAAAAGAATAAAACCAAAGACTTAGCTTGTCTTGTCCTGCCAGCTTCCTGGGACATCCTTAACAAATGCAGACTTAAACATCACTGTACTTGATAACGTGCCCTGGACTGCAGCAAATTGGAATGTGCCAAGGACCGTGACAGATCAAACATGTTTCATTAAGTACGTGTTACTTTTTCTCTCACATCTGACAGTGCGTGGAGCTCTGCTCCTCTCAGATGAGGAGGCTGTGCTGCAGCATTGGAATCAACTGATTAGCCAGCTAGCAGGCCTTGCTGCAGGGAGGCAGAGGGGAGAAGGGCCTTGCCTGGGCTTCAGAAGCTGAGAAATGGCTGGCAGGAGGACCTGATGATTCCATGTCCCAATCCTACCCAGCAGAAGGGCTAAGTGAAGGGGGCAAATCTGGGATTGCTGAGCTGCTGGGGAGCTGCAGAGCTGCAGCTGCAAGCCAGCATTTAGGGTGTGTGCCTTGATTCCTGGGTTCCACCACCTTCTTTAAATGTGGGATTAGAGTTTTGTAGCAGCCTGTTAGAGGGCTGATTCACTTTCCCACTCGTGTAGATCCACAGGATTCACCTTCCCACTCTTGTGTACATCCACAGGTGTTGTAGCCCTTGGTGGTTTGGATCAGTGCAAGCCATGCCAGTAAATAGTTGCTTTCCAGCACATTGACCATAAAGGGCAAGGGCTGGAGATAAAACAGAGATTGCTTCCTCAGTGCCCTCATGCATCTGAATTTGACACAAAACTGGTTGTGCCCACTGCAGTACTACCCATATATAGGCTTTTACTGGCAACAGTTCTAAAAACCTCTCAAATTTAACAGGGACCAGGATCTTTCTGCCTTGTGTTTGAAAAGGAAGCTATATTAGCCTGGAGGATGATCTTCACCAGCCCTTGACTGCTCTTCTCTATGGTTTATGTCCCCCTGATCTTGTTGCAGCCCCTCTTACACTGGTTGATGTCTCGCATGAGGCTCAGTCCTCCATTCAGCATCCATGGAAATCTGCTGCTGATAGCAAAGCAAATAGGATGAGCCCTTCAGGAAAGCAGATGGGGGAACAAAGCCTGTTGTTGCCTAGGGCATTTAGAGAGCAATTGGTGTATTACACTGTGAGATCTGATTTGCTTTCATTACTTGAATAACAGGCAGGAAACAAGCGTGTGTCAAAGAACTACTTGTTCTGCTGTGAACATTCATTACAAGTTGTCTTTTCATACACAAGCATCTTTCTTTGCCCCAGGGCCTGATATATCCAGAGGGTTAGCTTTTAGGAAATTATTTCCTTTACAGAACTAAATGAGACACTGACAATGATGCTGTCTTGTGTGGATAAGTGTGAGCGTGGCCCACCAGCTCCTGCTCCCGCTTCCTCCTCATTGAAAACTACACCAAAACAAGTGCTATAGTGTTCCTTGGCTGCTGGGACAGTTAGATGTCAGGGTTTACACTTGCTCTTATTTCCAGTTAGGTCAGGTTCCCTGGTAGTCCCTATTCACCATGAGATTGCTCATACCTGCTGCTTGTCCAGAGGGACATGACTGGAGAGACACGGGGCAAAAGGAGGGAGGGAATAGTTTGGCATCATGGTCCTGGTGCAAAGGATCAATAAAAGATTTGGTGGTCCTATAAGGTAAATGACATCAGAGGTGATGAAGTCCTGCTCACCACTGAGCTGTTCACTGGGAGCAGTCCTTGGCCTGAGCTGCCTCCAGAGCCAAGGGAGAGAGCAAGTTTAAATAGTCCAGAGCAGATTCGGGGGCAGTGGAAATGTTGGGTGTTGTGGGTGATGCAGATTGCTGTCTCTGTTGCTCCCTGAAGATGGGGATGTTCCTTTAGGTGGCACAAAAGGAATGAGAGATGTGCTATTAAAAAACTTATTGAGCCACCAGCAAAATGAATTTGCAAGTTGCTACAAGGAAACAAAGCCCTGATTTCTTTGCAGTCCCAGCTGGTGGGAATGGAAGCAGAGATGCTGCTGTTTTGGAGAGATTTGTTTCCAGTGTATTTTCCTAATCTCAACAAGGGAATGTGTATCCTTTGGTAAAACAAATCACTTCTAGAAAGACCAACTTCTGCTCAGTAATACCACCAGTAAGATGTACCTAAATTTACATACTCATACTGGAACCACATCTTATTGTGGTATCTGGTCCTCTCACTCTTCCCACAAGTGTGTCCTGCAGTAACTCCCTACATCCCATGCTCTCCTTTTCTGTCCCACAGAGCCATGACAAGAGCCCTATCCAGGGAAGGAGAACCCAATGGGGCCACCACATCTCCTGAAGAGATAAAAGTGGAGGAAATGGAAGACAGAGGCCAGTGGCGGAACAAAATGGAGTTTGTGCTGTCTGTGGCTGGAGAGATCATTGGCCTGGGTAACGTGTGGAGGTTCCCATACCTCTGCTACAAGAATGGTGGTGGTGAGTTCACAGCACACGTGAGTTGTTCTAGATCTGTAGGTATGATGAGAGACATGTACATGCCTGCACCCAATTCTCCTATGTACTCCCTAAGGTACTCCTTTATTCACTCCTTCAACAAGTTAGTTCCTGCCAAAACCAGGAGGAATAAAAACTCAGGGGTGAATCCAGCTCCCCAGTGGGTACTCTTCCTTAAAGCAACATTCTCAAATCTGGACTCCTAAAAAATTGACCCCCAGTAACAACTTAAGGCTGTTGGGCATCTCAAGAAATTATTGGTCTTCAGAAAATATCAGATGCTGTGAGTGGTTGGAAAGCCAACATCAACCTCCTCCTACATATTCTCTTTTCCTACTCCTGGTGTCAAATCCATCTTTTGCAGGCCCTTGTTACAGAGGAGGAAAGGCTTAGATAGTGTTGGTATCCTAGCCAAGTCCTGATACAATCTAGAAGATTTCTGCCTCTTCCTCTGGAGCAATTCTCACAGTGATCAAACCACTATTAGGAAAATTCATCCCCAAAAAAGATTAATTCACCTTCCCTTTTGTTTCTTTGCATAGCTCTCCTTTTCTCTTGTAGTAACACTGCAATAAGATCATTACATGGTTAAAAGTTAAAATTTCTCATAACAATAAGATGAAACGTAAGGGAATAATTGACTGTCACTAACTTTTCTCAGTGAATAAAAATCTAACTTTATAAAAGAAAAGGAGGAATAACAAATTACATGTCAAATACAGCAATAACTTGTCTTTTGTTCTTGTTCTCTAAAAACACCTTGAAATAATGGTCTGGGACTTGCTTTGCACCCCATCCCCCTTACTCTGATCTTCCTTTCTCTGCAGACCATGCCCCAGAGGCCTTTCTTATCCAAGGTGCCATGAGCTTCCATCAATAGCTGAGTAGTTCCACTGTAATTTTCCCCAGGGCTTCTAAATCCTGTCCTCTCTGCTGTTGCTGGAGTTTATCCAAAATAAACAAGAGACAAGACAATACATCCTCAAAACCAGTGAGGGGCAGGATAAGAAATGGTTAAAGAAAATGTAATTAAGTTTTTCTTGAACCTGGGATGATTTTTAGCAGATCCTCCAGTTTTCTTCTCCAATTTTTTTTTTTTTTGATGGGAGGCACCAAGAGCAAGTCAGATGGGGACAGGTTAGGAAACACTGAAGGTGCATCTGATTGAACAGCCCATTCTGCAGTGATGCTTTGAGAGAGGAGTCATGGGTTTTGCATGGAAAATTTCTCCCTGAGCTCAGATGATATCTTTGCATAGTTTGTGCCTGTGGTACCCGGTTCAGCAGTCCTTGCAATTTGTATGCTAATTAGTGTAAGTGAAAAGGCTACTTTTGTTCACTTTAAATATCTATTGAATAACATTTTTCTTTTTAATTAAACTGCTCTGGAATAGCTAAGGCTGTGATTCAGAGGGCAATGAGGCTAGGCTTGGGAAAGGTTAGGATGGGAGAGTCCTTCCCTCACAGCTTCCCACACTGCCCTTGTAGAAAGTATGCTACTGCTGTGGAAGGTACTTTTCTCTCTCCAGAGCTCTAGGGAGCCAGAAGAGTGATATTGTACAAGGCAATGTATTTCCCATGACACTCAAAGACATTCTCATCATTGGAAAAGTTCTTTAAATTGCCAAAAAAAGCATTTTCCACCTATAAATGCTTCATCCCTGTCCCACCCTTACCCCCCAAATTTGAGACTGCTGTCCTGTCACTTTTCTCCTGAATGACTGAAATGGTTATACAGCTATGAAGACAGATACCATAGAAACAATAGTGCTGGTTTTCTGTAAAGCGACCAACTGCAACCTTATCTACTGCTGCACTGTCAAATTTGATCTAATTGCTCAGCCTCCTGAACTTATTATTGACTCATAAGGAAAGAGCATCTGTTTCTGGGGGCCCCACTCAAGGCTGAGGTCCTTCAGTAGAGCAGCAAATTGCAAATTGAGGAGGGGATCACAGCTGGAGTTTCAGCTGGTAACTGCTGTGGGACAGCACACGTTACGAGAGACAAGAGAATGGAGGTGCAAGAAAACCATCACTGCTCAGAGACCAAAATGGGTCAACCTCTGTGACAAATTATATCAGAGGAGAGGGTCTGGAATCTGCTGAAAGGCTCATCTGTGTGCAGGATCATAAAGCTGTCTTGCAGATTTGGCTTAGGTGTCTTGCAACACCAAAAAGTAGCAGCTGCCTCTAGTTCAGGGTCTGCAGTTCTCACTTCCTACCCCGCAAACCTGGACTGACCCTGAGAACCAGCCTCCTTCCCTCTGGCCCCAGGTCTCCTGCAGCTACACACAGCTGTGTTTAGGGGAAATTTGGATGTTCTTTGTTATTGTAACATTGTTGGCTTTAAAAATAAGGGCAAGTGTTCGTAGTTGCTCACAGTCACTGGAAGGAATGTTGGTGTGAGTGCCTGTGCTGGCAGGGGAGGAGAGGGCTGGGGGGGGACAGTGGCTGAGAAAGGCACCCAGTCTTGGTTACAAACAACTGAGATGCTCTCCAGGCCCTGGCAAGAGAGGTGTTCATGGCCAGATTTTATTGTATGGAGTGGCAAGACAGACACAGTTGTTTCACTGAGGGGAGCAGAAGTGTGAAAATCTACACTAAGGATGTGGAGAAAGAGAGTGAGGTGACAGAAGGAAGGTCAGCTGTGAAAATGAGATCTCAGGAGCAGTTTTGAGCAGAGCAGTGAATGTATTTGGTGTTTTGGTTTGACAGCATAACTAAAAAGGTGCAAAAAATGTTTCAGGCAGCTGAACAGAACACTAAGCCATTTTTTCAGGGCATTAAACTTTTTTGTTATTTTTGTTTGTCTTTTCTTATGCTTAGTTTATGTTGGTCATTGTTTCTAGGAAAAAGCCTTGCTCTTTTCTCCTTCCTCTTCCATTTTGATAAGGGTTAATATGAGAGCCATTTCAGGCTGATTTCTCTTTACACATTTCTCTACATATTACCAAAAAATGGATTTTGAAGGTAGAAGTTAAATTTTTTCATTTTGAAAACGCTATTTCCATTTTTCTGGGGCAATCTGCTTTCCAAATTTGATGTGAAATATGTCTCAAGTAAATTTATATCCTGGCAAATTTTTCACTTACCAAGAAATGTCACCAGCCTCCAGGTTTGTATCCTCTGGGCAAGTGGGAGTTTTGCTGTGACTCTCATGAAAGGCAGAACAAATGTGGTTATGTGAAACAAGGACTTATTTTGTTCATCCCATTCCTGCTGAAAGCTGGAATGAGGTCAGGAGCATGAAACCAGGAGAACTTCTTCTGCACTATCTTTTTTTAGCTCCTTGCCTGGCTACTCCTTAGCTCTAGGTTTTGGCCTATGCCAAATGCAGAAGTGCTGCAGTAGCACAAGACAGACCACCCTTGTATTTTTTTCTGAGAAATTATGGTGATGGAAACCTTGTTTCTTTAGCAGAGGTTGCACATGTGGTTCAGTGAAATATTTATATTTATGTAGCTGATTCCAGCTGTGGTCCCAGGTACCTGACGAGGTTTTAAGGATAAGGTTTTTGAAGAGGTCTCTGAGGCAGCATTTTACCCTTCTCTGCAGGAGCCTTCCTCATCCCTTACCTCATCTTCCTCTTCACCTGTGGGATCCCCCTGTTCTTCCTGGAGACGGCGCTGGGGCAGTTCACGAGCCAGGGAGGGGTGACTGCCTGGAGGAAGATCTGTCCCATCTTTGAAGGTCAGTCAAGTTACAGTATTTACTGACAACACTTTCTGACAATCAGTGACTCAAATCCTCTTTTTTTGAAATATTATTATTCTTTTTTATTTTCTTTCTCCTTTAGTCTCCCTCCTTTCTTCTCTCTCCCAGCCTTGTTATTCCTTCTGCTGCCTGCTGTGTGTGCAGGGGCAGTTCCCTGACCCCTCTCCATGTGAGTGAGGGTGTGTGGTGCTGCCTGGGGGCTGTGCTGGTCCACCTGAACCACAGTTTCTGTTTTCAGAAGCTCAGAACCTGGGAGAGAGGAGAAGCAGGATGGCCAGCTTGAAGAAGGAGGATGGAAGTATCAATGTACAAACACCTGTGTGTAGTTCAGGACAAATAGTGAGGGGAGAAGAGATTGAGGAAACCTGTCTGGTTTATCGTGCTTTTCCTGCCCTCTCCTGTGCCCAGGGCTGCTGTGGCAGCATTTGCAGGCTGGCATCCTTCAAACTGGGGGAATGAGACTGTGTGCACTGGGTCTGACAGCCCAGAGATGTGATGGAGATGAGGTTAAGCCACAGGGGTAAGAACCAGGACGTCTGGGGCCCTGGGGAAGGTTGTTTAATGGCATTAATACATTCGTGAATATAATTTCCTCAATTCTTCTGTCCAGAGGAGAGCTTATTAACCATGTTTTGCAAATGGAGAGACCTGTGCTCAGGCAGTGTGGAGCCTGGTTAGTTTGCTTGAGCATGGACATGCAGTGCTATCTGAAACCCCTTGGGGAGTCTGGGACCTCCTGCACTGGAGACCCCTATGCTCTGGCGCAGACCTGGAGCTGGACAGCAGGGGCATCTCAAAAGACACTGACAACCAGTTTTAAATAAATGAATTGGGCCTTTCTGCTCTGATTACTGTTCTGAGGTCTCAGTGAGAGATGGGCACAAGCAGGACCCAGGACCAAAGCTGAGCATGGTGTATATCAGCTGTAAGAATGTTTTTTGCCTGACACTTTCCAGAAGTAAGAGACTCAGCTGCATTTCTTTTCTTCAAAGGCTAGAGCTGTATTTTTCTGAAGAGGAGGAACTATGGTGCTGTGGCATGGTAGCCATTAGAAATTTTTTTTTTCAAATCAGCATAAGGTTTTCTGGCTGTTTCACCACTGACCTGTCTAAAGTTACCAACAATGTTTCCTGTCTGTGTGCACAGTCACAAAATCCTTCCTCATTCCCTTAGGCAGATCTTGCACTATTCTCTGGGGAGCCATGTTGTTGGTGTTGCATCCTTCTTACCACAGCATGTCCAGTGTCTTTGTTTGGGGTTAAGCTTCATGTGTTGGGAATTGGTTGCCAGTCCCATCCTCATCTCCTTTGCTTTTCTTCACAGGAATTGGATATGCCTCCCAAGTCATTGTAGGATATCTGAATATCTACTACATAATCATCTTGTCCTGGGCACTCTTCTACCTGTTCAGCTCCTTCACTTCAGTGCTACCGTGGGCCAGCTGCAATAACCCCTGGAACTCAGGTACACCTTCCTTTGCTTCAGCTCTCTAACTTCTTTCCAATTCCCAGAAGTTATTTGGGTTTTGTTGAAAATATTTGGTTTTTTTTGAATAAGAAGCTGTCATGAGCTGGCATGTGATGTCACCAAAAAATAGGCATTTTCTGGCAAGAAGGAGAGGTGAATGGTAGAGTTTGCAAGGCAATCTAGAGCCCTCATCATGTGGCAGGATCTTTTTATTAGCTCTGGTGCAACAGTTTATCTTACAGTTCCCTTACTCTGCCCCATTCCTGCGGAGTTACTGGGACAGTTGCTGCTACTGCCAGTGCCTGAACAGTTTCCTCTGTGCACTCAGCTTTTGGGTAGATCAGGCCAAGCCTGCATTGTAGGATTTTGGCAGTTCAGGTCTCCCAATGAAGGAACCAATAACACAAAACTCTAAGGGCACTGTTCTCCTGGTAAATCACATCCATACAGCCTCTATACCATTACATTCACTAGGGTTCTTATTGCTTTGTGCTCATAGTTCACTTAACTCTGCCCTGCAGAGAAGACCAGGCTTTGACTTTACTCAAGGTGCTTGTGCTGAGCCTGGGAAGATGTCCTTGTCAGGAATTTTTTAGCACGTTTAACAGGTTTTGCTTGGCAGCAGCTTGGTTCCCTCCCTTTTTCTCTTGCATCAGATGATTAATTTCTGCAATTAGTTAAATTTCTCTACCCTGTGGGTCTTTTACTCACAGTTCCCTCTCCCCTTTCATCCCAGCAGAAGTAACCAGCCTTTTAAAGAGCTGATCCAATTCCTTCAGCTTCCCCAGAATGGATTTGTTTGCAAGGAAAGCCACATATGTTCTCTTAACAGAGAGAAGCTTCCCAGCAACAGCTGGGTTTCCTTGGTTTTCAGTGGATTGCCTTTTACTGGCAAAATACAAGATGAGGTGCTTGGATGTGTGACATCATCTCTGTTTTTAGTTATTTCATGCTTTGTAACAGGGTTGGGGATGGCAAAGGAGAACATGAAGGCTTCTGTGATGTGTGCATGTATGGACAGGGAATGGTGCATAATGTGGAAATAGAATGAGACTTTCTATCCTGACTACTCCTAGTCGCTATCCCTTGATAATCTATATTTTGCAGTCATCTGTTTTCAATTGGGCAGGGAATTGTTCTCTCATTCTCCTGTTCTCTTCCTGAAGCCCCTCTGGTGACTGCTGGTTGGGATTCATACCTGGGGAGAGCCACAGTTTAATAAGACGTTTAATGAGATGCTCTATAGCACAAGATGAAGGATCTGTGTGCTGCCAGAGTGAGGGTTAGGGTCCAGAGGGGAAGGAATATCCCTCTTGGAGGAGCCCTAGACAATTTCTCACCTCATCAGCTTCCTTTTCTTTTGGTAGATCTCTGTGTGGACATTCTGAATAGATCCAGCCTGGACAACAGGACCTTGCCTGCGAACGCCACCTCCTCAATGATTGAGTTTTGGGAGTATGTGATTGCTTTCCCTCTGTTCAGGCTCCCTCTCATCCAAAGGTTGCAGCTGCAGGACTCCCTGGGTGGGGGGCTGCGTGTCTGTAGGAGCAAGTGAGGTGCACGTGTCAGATCCAGCATGGGGAGCACATGGAGCTGCCAAGGAGATGGGCACAGAGCCCAGGGTGTGAGGACTGGGCACACCCCAAAGGCAGCTCACAGTGTGCCTGCCCAGGGGTGCTCATGTGCACCTTGAGGGTGTGTTCCCCTTTCTGGCACTGGGCTGCCTGGGTGAGTGTGACCATCGAGAGAGGCACCAAAAGCAGGCGAGGGCTTGCTGCAAGCAGGAGTACATATGCTGGGTGTTGCAGGTTGGCAGGCAAGCATGAGAGGCCATGGCAGACAGAACAGTCCTCCACAGTGAAACACAGTGGGGAAAAACTGCCTTTTACCTTCTTTTGACCCAGTCTTCTTGCTGTCTAAGGGAAGTGATCCATCAGGATGCTCAGGATCATCCCTGGAGAGCAGGGATATGAGATGCATGCATGAGATGCCAGAGAATATTTGAGGAAGGTAGAGAATTCTGAGGAATTTGGGGCTGAAGGCACTAAAATACAGTCTGAGTGAGGGGTCTTACAGCAGGCTAGATAATGTCCCAGATAGGGTCATCAGTGCAGTGTGGAGAGGTTGAAATGATGGCTGGTGCCACCTTACCACTCCACATGCTACGGAGGAAAGTCTTAGAAAGAAGAGGGCTGTCAAGGACTCAGCTTCAGCAGTTGGGTTTGGGTTTTTTCCCCGTTTCTGTCTTTTAAAGTACAATTGAAAGGGTTGACTGTCCTTTGTCTGTTGCACAGGGCACATAGAAGATGATACGTGCCCATGGTTGCAAAGAGTCTGCACAGTGCTGGCCCCCTTCTCCTGCTCTGCTCTTTGCACACACTCTTTAGTGAGAGCTGAGGCCCCTCTGAAACAGTTGTTTGGGTTTTCTGTAGAGAGGGTAAGGGGACGCTGAGGGAAGTGGTTTTGAGCAGAATGTGCAGAGGAGTTGTAGGAGTTGTAATAGGCTGCTGGGAACTGCAGGAGTTGCAGTGCTGAGCTCTCATGTGGCCTACGTTCTTGATGGTGAATCTCCAAGGAAGGAGGCTGAGGGAAGGGCATGGGAATCTTAAAGATAATTTCTGCTTACATATAGGGTGCCTGTAGCATATGGGGAGGAAGAATGGAGCCATGGGCTGATAGTGGCTTTGGTGGCTTGCTTTGGATTGAGTCATCTCTGCTGGGGAGCTGCCAGGCTCAGGGAGCAATGGGGAGCAGGTGTTGATTTTGTGTAGTGTGGGTCTGACAGGCATGGCACCATGGGTTTGGACAGTGGGAGGGTTTGGGTCAGCCACAGGACATGGTGGAGCAGAGATGAGTAGAGAGGGGAGCCTTAAGCAGAGCTGGGACGATTTGCATGGCTGGGGGCCCTGGGCAGATGTGTTGTAGACAGGCTGTTAAGTCTTTGGATGGGGTAATAGGGGAAAGATCTGTATGGGTGAATGGGGTCTGGAGTGTTAATGCTTCTCTCCCTGTCCCTGGACACCGGCAGGAAGCGAGTGCTGGGGCTCACGGATGGTATTCACAAACTGGGCACTGTGCGCTGGGAGCTGGCTCTGTGTCTCCTGCTGGCGTGGATCATCTGCTACTTCTGCATCTGGAAAGGGGTCAAGTCCACAGGCAAAGTAGGAATGGAGATTATCCTCCCAGTCCATAAGCCTCCTTGCATCCATTTTATTTCTTCCCCAATCTCTTTTTCTTCTGCATGAAGTAGAGGCAGAAGACACAGCACCAAAGTGAAACTTAAAACCTGTTGAGGCCATACTGGTGTACACCAGTTGTGTTTGAAACCTAAGAGGAAGAATAAATTAGTAGGTCCATCAGGGAGGGGAGAATGAGGAAAGACTTGGGAACTGAGGGGAGTTTTGAGGCACATTTTCACTTGCAAATGCCCACAGTGGCTGATGGATTCTCCCCAAGTGCCCTTGGGAATCATCCACTCACCAATGTGTTGTCCTGCTGTGGCTTGAGGGCGTTTTCAACAAGATCCTCTGCAGTGGCAGGCTTCCCATCTCTGGCAATTATTAAACACTTGAGCAAAACAGACAAGCTGCTGCCTGTAACCAGCTCAGAGAATAGATAATGAATCCCTCCAGCTTCTTTATCCTGCATAACATTTGGGGTGGGAGAAGTGTCCTTGTTCTCTCTTATGTGCTCTTTCTAAATCTGCAGGTTCTTCACCACTTTCTGCATTTTGCTTATGGGGCTGGAGCCAATGCTTCCTCCTGTTTATCGTATAGAGCAGATGGACTGGTTTTCCTTTTGGAGTGAATGAGTGTTTGATGCCTTGGGCTGGGTATTAGGGATACTACCATGGCCTTGATTTGCTCAGGACCTCTTTCTTTCCTGCAGCTGCCATGAGATGGGTGGATCATTAATGATGATTAATGATTAGCCTTGTGGGTGTCCAGGGAATGTCCCAATAGCAAAGGGAGGGAACCAACTTCTGCAACAGATTTCTTCCTTCAAATCACTGTCTACTCTTCACAAGTGTTCCCTTTCTTACTTGACACCTGTGTTTCAGTGTTAAATCCTATCTGCTAACTTAAAACTGCACTGGGCACCCATTGAAACAGAATGAGATAACAGCTTGCTCCCCTGACTAGATTTTTCCCAGGTTTTGCTGATGACTGTTCTTGCTGGTGCAGACTTGTTGCCCACCATTTCTGAAGGAAGGCGATCCAGACTCCACCTTTATGGGCAAGAGGGGATGGATGATAAATGATGGCATTTTAAACCTTGAATCTCTAATGCCCCCTAATTTGAATACCACAGTGCCATCTTCACAAGAAATCAAATCTGAGAGGCTGTGTGATCTGCATGGAAGAATAATTTAGTCACCTGAGGTTCTCTTTAGCTCTCAGCCTTCTCCACTGAATTTCTCCTTTGCATGGTTCTCCTTATGCTTCCCCAGTGTGCGTAACTTAACTGCACTAGGAGAAAGCTAAAGTATTTCAGTCAGGCTGGTTGAGCTGACTTGGTTTGGTAAAACCAGACCAGAAAGTGAGAGAAAACAGAGTGACTACATATAGTAAATGGAATGGTCTTCGAGACTACAGAAGATTTTTCCATCACAATTTTTAGGGTACAAGGCTATTAGCTATTTACCAGCCAGGTGTTATGGACAAGGTGCAACAATGAGAGGGGTTTTCTGTTCCCAAATATACTAGAGGTCAAGCAGGCCAGTTGTCTTCTTTGCAGGCTGTAATTTTGAGTATTACAGGGCAACTGTCAAAAATTTCAACTGCTTCCCTCTTTTTCTTTGCTGACAATATACTAGGACAAGCATTAGGAAAGACCCGAGGATTCTGAGTAGGTGCATAACTTTGTACAACAGCTCCAGATTAAACAGAAGGTTGTGTTTGTCTGAGAGGCTGCTCTAATCACATAACCCTGCCAGATCCTTATGTTTCTGCTTCTGTGATTTAAGGAATCCAAATTTAAAGAAACCATAGTGACCCCAGGACAATAATTTCAAATAATTCCATAAAGACTCATTTTCTTTTAAAAGTCTTTTTTTCCCCCCTATGTTTCTCTTCCTTATGCATAAATGTTCCTTAAAACTGATTTCTGAAGGTAGATTTTAATACTTTTGCCTAAAGGAGGCATTTTGTCATTCTCATTCAATCAGGGAACAGCAAAAGTACCATGTACTGTGACTTATTTGACCAATTAGCACTAAGCACAAAAAAATGTCATTTCAGGCCCGTCACTATGAATCCTTGGAGTAAACAAGCCTCCACATTACTTGGATGAATTTTAGTAATGAATAAATGTTAGGAAGTTGCAACTTGCTCGCAAATATTTTGCAACTAGAAAAAAAATAATATTTTATATTAGAGAAATAGTTTAGAGATTATTAATTCTACTGTAATATTTATTTATAACAAAAAAGAAGTAAGAATAGGTATTACAAAATAATGGTCTACATTTTCTTTGAGGGCTTTGAGTTGCTCCCATTTTTTACCTGTGAGCTCAAAGGTATTGAAGGGATGAGAGTGATGCATGAGCACTTTTGGAAATGAGATGCCTCATAGATGTCTCAAATTGGACAGCAGAAGTTGGTATTTAATTTGGAAAGCTCTTGCTGTGCATAGGACCATTTTAATAACTCATTAAAACTCAGTGATGGGAAGAGATCTGGGTTTCTTCTGCAGCTCTCGAAAGATGAAGGGAACAGCTGCACAGCAGGGAAATTACACTGACTGGAAAGAGAAAACAAAGCAGAGCAACCAGTGGCAGAGTCTTGGATGAAGAACAAAATGCAGATTAACTAAATGACCATTGAGATGTAACCTTGATTACTTTCTTTCCCACCCCTCTTCTATGTTAGCAGCAGCAGCTACAGCCAACAGCAGAGTCGGGGAGGTTTGCTGGGGTGGGGGCCTGCAGATGAGGTGAAGAGATGCCTGCCCCCTCCCTGCTGACCCTCTCTCCTGTTGTTTCTCTGCCCCTGCAGGTCGTTTACTTCACTGCCACCTTCCCATATGTGATGCTCCTCATCCTGCTGGTTCGAGGGGTCATGCTGCCAGGGGCTGCTGAGGGGATCATTTTCTACCTGAAGCCAGACATCTCCAGGCTGGCAGACCCACAGGTGAGGGGTGGTGTCAGGCAAATGCTGGCCACCAGAATGTTCTCAGTGCCCTGGCCTCTGAAGCTGGGCATCTAGCTGTCATCTAGGAAAGGAGGTCAGGCAAACAGGATCCTTAAAACTTCTGAGAGGACTCTAGTTCCCTTACACAGCACATCCTTTTTGCTTGTGGTCTGCAGCATGTGGGCATATTAGGTCATTTCCACCCATGGGCTCAGCAAAACCAGAAGAGTATATTTAATATTTAGCATGTAGCAGAGAGTTTTTCTGGCTGATAAATGCAGATAATTAAGGGAGGGGTTATATAATCTATCACTTCTATTTTTTTTTTCTGGCCTGGTTAGCAGTTTGGCTCCATCAGGACCCTCCCAGGACATGAGGGGTCCCTGTGCCTGCAGAAGAGACCGAAGGCAAGCATGTAACATGGGCTGTGAGCATCTGGGTTCCCTTCACTTGTCCTGGGGGCTGCTCCCACCTGCCTAGGGCAGGGGCTGGCCAAAGGGTCAATCACTGCCACCAGTCACTGCAGCTCATGGAAACCCTCAGTGAGATCCTGGTACTGAGTTGAGGCAGAAAGTAGAGCTTTAGTTCATGTGGGATGTATGTCCATGACTGAAGGGCTCCTGTGTACATGCCTATCTGTGAGAAATCAGGATTAACTTAGGCAGCAGTGCTTGGGATGGGATTCTTTGAAGGCTGCCAAATTCCAGCTGCCTGGATGTTTGCAGCTGGGAGCTGCATAGAGGAAAAAGAGAATGACTGGTGACCCTGGACACCATCAGAAAGGTGGGCTGTTTACCTGCCTGCATAAAACTCCCAGCTCAGGGCTTTCCCTGGGACTGTGTGAGAGCAGAGTTGCAGCTCAGCCCACAGTTCAGCTCTCCATGGAGGAGAGAGCTAGAGCAGTGGTGAGAAACCCCACTCAGCTTTTCCCATGGAGTGCCAGAGCAAAGGGGAACCTGTGTGTGTGACACCCCACTGGCCTGCAATCTCTCATCTCAGCAATTTTCTGCCCTTCACTGTGCAGTGTGGCCTCAGAGAGGTGGAAAACTAGATCTGGGAGCAGGGAAGGGAGTGCAGAGATTGTTGATCACACTGTCATTTGGGGTGACTCACCAGTGGCTCTGCAAGGAGATTAATCATCTGGGCCATGTAGGGACCACAGACATCTGTAGTGAGAGCTTCAGAAGGAGCCATGCTATCAGGGGTACCATCTCTACCCTGAATGCAAAGGTGTGAGGTGGAGAAATGGTGTCACCTTAAATGGAATATGAAAATACGATCTCCTCTAGAGCTTTTTCCTAAAGGGTTTCCAGTTCTATAACTAATTTTTTCCTGATAGATATCCCAGGTTCTCCATTCACTGTAGATCCACTTTCTGTATTTGTTCTCTGTTGATGATTCCTCTCCGTGTGTGGAGACACGAGGCTTGACTCCATTTCAGAAGGCTGATTTATTATGTTAGATATTATATTAAAATGCTACATTAAGACTATACTAAAAGAACAGAGCGATCAGAAGGCTACAACAAGAACAGAACAGAATAACAAAAATCCTGTGACTGCTCACAGCCTTGGCACAGGTGGCTGTGATTGGTCATCAATGGAAAACAATCCACATGGACCAATCATGAATGCGCCTGTTGCATTCCACAGCAGCAGATAGTAATTGTTTACATTTCTCTCCTGAGGCTCCTCAGCTTCTCAGGAGAGGAAAAATCCCAGCAAAGGATTTTCCATAATATCATGGCTACAGTTCTCTATGACTAGAGGAGTTATTGTTGACAGGGCACAGCCATTTGTTTATTTTGTTGCCACGTCTGGAGACCACTGACCTTCTCTCTTCCAGGTCTGGATGGATGCAGGCACTCAAATCCTCTTCTCTTATGCCATCTGTGAGGGGTGCCTGACAGCTCTGGGCAGCTACAACAAATACACCAATAACTGTTACAGGTAGGAAGAGCCTGCACTCCTCATTTCCTTCTGGAAATTTTCTCAGATAGCACAGAGCTGCATCAGAGGCAGGCTCTGTCCCTGGGGGAGACCTTGGGTCATGCTGCTGTGACTAACGAGCTGCTCAGAGTGCAGAAGCTGCAGAGGATTCAGCACAGGAATGGAGAATGGCTGAGGGAAGAGAGGAGTCCAGAAAATGGCTTTAATAGTGCTCTCCTGCATGAGTCAGTGTGGAAATGAGAGACTGGAGGAGGGGGAGGAATGAAAATGGAGAGTGTCTCAAGCCACTGTGTAGACAGCACACTGTATTTTGACAGAGTGAGTGGGTAGGGGTGACATGGCCAGCTCTGCCATCTCTTGCTAGGCAGGGGAGATGGTGCAAAGATGATGGGGGCCGCCTGTCTCCAGTGCTTTACTATCAGAGTAATATACTGCCAGTGGCCTTTTGATCCTATCAAGGAAATTAATCAAGTCTGTCTGGCCTTCTCCTTGCCCTTGGCAACATAGGTAAAACAGATCTGTTTTATCCATGGCCTGACACGGAGCTCAGCAGGGCCATCAGGACCATTTTTGACACCCTCTACAGAGCCCTGAGAAGCAGGGATTTTGCTGTGCTTTCACATATTGCTCCAGCACAGACTGTAAAATAGAACTGTGCTTGGGAGACAACAATCATCTCTCCTGTTCTCCGATAGGTGCTGCAATGGCTTTTGGTTGGGCAGTTAATACTTTCTCCTGGCTCTCCCAAAATATTTCGGTCACCAATGAAGTGGTTTGCTGACACCTTCCTCTAATTCCTAAGGTGCCTTGTGCCGGCAGCTTACCTCTGGATGTCCCAAATGTGTCCACAGTGCCTGCACCATGGCAGCTGATGCTGTGGGTCAGCTCTGGCAGCTGCCCAGGCAGGATCCAGGAGTGTGGGGTTCCCAGCCCAGCCAGCTCAGAGTGGTGCCCAATTTTCACAAGGACCAAGAGCTCAGAAGTTTCAGGACAAGTAGCATAGCACAACCCAACCTCCATCTGATCATAGCTAATAAAGACAGTGTAGACTGCCCTTGTCAGTGAGGATTTTTATTGTCCTATTACCCTCATTTTACTAGACCTACTGAACCTGTATGTCTTCATGCTTTCAGATAGTCCTCTTTCTTGACTATGTTTCCTTTTGCAACCTCTTTCCTCTTCTAATTTTCTGTTTTCCTCATTTTCTCTGTTGTTTTTCCTATTCTCTAGACTCTTGTAATTTTTTTTATTATGTGCTGTGTGGTTGTGTCCTATTCCCCCACTGTGCCATGTGTAGTCCTGTAACTCTTGAACTCTTGGCCCTGCTCTGAGTGTCTTATTTCTGAAGGGGTTCAAGAACAACATTCTGTTTCTTGATAGTGCTGTCCAGCTAGGGAAGCTGAGCACAGACATGATCCTAAGTGGATCCATTCTGCAGCAGGAAACCCCCATTTCTCTCTGGTCTCCTTTCTGCAGGGACTGCATCCTGCTCTGCTCCCTGAACAGTGCCACCAGCTTTGTTGCTGGTTTTGCCATTTTCTCTGTGCTGGGCTTCATGGCTCGAGAGCAGGGAGTGCCTATTTCAGAAGTGGCTGAATCAGGTAAGTTTTTCTGGGAGACTTCAGAGCCAAGGGAAAACAAACAGCCTGAAGGGGAGGGCACTCTTCCAAGGTGAAACCCAGGATGTTCTCTACATCCTCTATTACTATGGGTGCCTGCAGTGGTCTGCAGGGCCAGTACTCCTCAACACAGCTTTCAGCCGTGGGTGGTCAAGGAGCACACATGGTCATCCTGTGGTCTGTTGGCAGGTCCTGGCCTGGCTTTCATAGCATATCCAACAGCAGTAACAATGATGCCTGTGTCTCAGCTCTGGTCCTGCCTCTTCTTCCTCATGTTGATCTTCTTGGGACTGGACAGCCAGGTACAACACCCCCCGCATCTCACCTAACATGCCTGTCCCTACCCTGAGCATTCCCCATGGTCAGTGGAAATAATAAGGTGGGTCTGTGCTTTGCTGGTACCTTAAATAGGTTCTCTACATTGCATGCAGCACTTTCACACACTGTGGGAGCTCAGATCCAGGGCCAGTGGCAGGCCAGGGGCTATATGGGCTGGCATCCTCTCCCTGTGTGTGTGTGAGGGTGCCCCAGCTACATCCCTTCAAAACTGCAGAGTGAGGCAGAGCACAGAGCAGGGCAGCCTGGGACAGGTAATTGGGCTGTTTCTTCCCAGCTGCATCCCACCAAAGCAATCCCTCTGTCCTCTTCTCAATGGTGTGCCCATGTCTTACATCCCATATCCCTGTTATACCAGGAACAAACCCTGCAGAGTGCAGTGTGAAACTCTGCTGCTGGCACGAGGGGAGCAGAGGGTGTCCTGCATGTCCACCAGGCAGGTGTTTGGCTCAGGCTCTGCTCTGTTATACCCCAGCCCTTGTGCCTGGATAATCAGGCCTTTTTCTTCTGTTTCTGCTGGCCTTTGGTAGAAGCAAGACAGATTAAAAGAAAGAAATGAAAAAATAAGGATTTGGCGGGTGGGAAGACAAAAAGGACAGTGAGGGGAAGTGCGTGCTTGGGGAAGGAGAGAGGCTGATTTCTCTGACCTGTTTTCTTCTGCAGTTTGTCTGTGTGGAAAGCATGGTGACAGCTATTATTGACATGTTCCCAGGAGTGTTTCGGAAGAGAGGGCGTCGGGAGCTGCTGATCCTGGCCATTGCAGTCATAGGCTACTTGCTGGGCTTATTGCTGGTCACTGAGGTGAGCAAGGAGTACAGGAGCAAGGAGCAAGGGTTGTACAGCTGAGCACCAAACCCCCTGCTACACAGTTCTGGAGGTCTGGGCAGAGACAGCAAGCTTGTCTTCAGTGCAGTTAATTGTCTCTCATTTCTAATCCATTAGCTGCTGTCTCTCACAGCCAGTGCTGCTTTGACCCTGTGTGACACTGGTGCACTCACTGTATCACTGAGCCTTCCAGAGATACTGGTCCCACAGCCCAGAAAGGTTGCCTGACACATGGCTTTGTGTAAATACCAGACCTGGGAGCTAAAACAAGCCGAGCTGTTTGAAAACAAGCTCTTCTCAGGGCAGTGATCATTTGCTGGCTGCTTTCCACACAAAGAAGAGCAGCAGGAGAGGAGCCTGGGGGTAATGGCTGTGCCATAACCCTGCTGGAGCCCATGGGAAGCCTGTGATCCCTGGACCAGCAGGAGCAGAACTGTGCTGGTGTGATGCCATGCACACAGTGTTTGCACTGCTCTTCCTGCACCTCTTGCTGCATGGTGCTGTGCTCTGTGTGTACCACAAGCTTGGGTGGGGGCTTAGCACTCCTGTGCTGTCTCCATGAGCTCTGAAGAGACAGCTAATTCCTGTTAAATCCCCGAGGCACAGATGAATGATCCTCTAGCAGGATCCTGGCTAAGGATCTGCTGAAGGCAACACCTACCTGTCAGCTTGAGTAGCACTGTGTCTAGAGGCCTTCAGCATTATTTGAAAGGATCTGATTGATGTAGAGAGGCTCTGTCTTGGAGAAATCACATGAAAATCATCCTGTGCAGGATGTACAGGCCTGTGCAGGTAGCTGGTGACAACTCTGCAGGGCTCAGCTCAAAGTTAGAAGCAGCAGGAAAGCCACACGCCTTTGCCATTGCAGAGCTTGGAACTTGTGCTGTATGTAAGGTTGGGTGAAGGTAAAACAAGGTATCTTGAATGTCCTTGCTCAAGATCACAATTTTCTGGGTGCACAGTTCTGCACTGCTACTTGGTATTTCAAAAATGATTCTGGGAACTTCCTAACTGTTTTAAAACAACCAAGAAAACCAGCTCCTGCTCTTATGCACGTAGAAGCCAGCCTAGCCCAGCAGTATCATCAAATGGGTGTGAAAAACTCTCCTGCCACCAGGCTTGACTGTGTTTTTGGAACAGATTAAGGGCAGCCCCAAGAGAAGGCTCTTCTTGCACCTGTTCTAGGTTGAGTGTTTCTGCTGCTATTCTTTTGCTTGCCCCACTAATTTCCCCCATGGAACAGTCTTGCAATGGCTCTGTTTTCTCTACCTCTTCAACAGGGTGGCATGTACATCTTCCAGCTCTTTGACTACTATGCTGCCAGTGGCACATGCCTGCTCTTCCTGGCTATTTTTGAAGTCATCTGCATAGGATGGGTGTATGGTAAGTGGAGGACAAAAACCTGTCTTGTTCTTTATCAAGGCAAGAATGGGGGGTTGAGAAGTGAGAGTCTATAGAAAAGATCCTCAGGAGGCAAAGAAGTGCTGTAATTATGTTCTTTCTTGTCTAGTTTTCACTGTGTTTCCTTGCAACATTTCTTAATTGCTCCACATTTAGTCTAAGAATGTTTGTTCCTTCTCTGTAGGTGCCTCATATTGAACTACCTTGCTGTTTTTTCCATCTGCCCTTTGAATTAGAAAATCAGCTATGGAGGAGTGACTGCTGTTCTTTGGTGTCTGTCCCTGTCTGTTTACCATTGTGCATTTAGTTTAGTCCTGCCAGTTAATTTAACACAAAATTCTGGGATGCAAACTTGTTATGTGTTACTTCTGCGATGATTCCTGCTTCCTATTTACCCAGGCTGTGATGGCACTCAGAAAATAAATAGGAGGGACTGCTTTGGCTCTCAATGAAGTCTGTAACTCTAAACTACTCAAGAGCAGGATAAAACTGAGCTTCATAAAGTATCAGGAGGAAAGCAACTGCATGTTAGTCTGCGCAGTAAGAAAAGTCTCCTCTGATATCCTATGGGAGATCTCTTCCTGACCACAAAGGCTTTGGTTCTTCTCCCTGAAGCTTGTGTCAAGGCTGATGGTTTTTGGGCAGTGTCTTGTGTGTGATGCAGAGCAGCTGCTCCCTGTCTTTGCTTCATGGAACTACATGAGCCTCCTACCTGTAAGGGTTGTGCACAGCTCTAGTAGATGACAGCTTAGACCAGACCTCAACATCCCACAGTCACACATCTGCTGGTCCCAACTACTTCAAGCAGCACTGCCATAATGACCTCAGGGAAAGAATGCAAACATAGCATCATGTTGGGTCTCAGTGGTCAGGAGTGGATGCTCATGAAAGAATACAATAGAAGAAAAATTATGAGTGGTACTTTCTGTGAATGTTCTTCAAGGTTTTCACGATTTATAATAGAACCATAGAATTGGTTGGTTTGGAAGAAACCTTTAAAGGTCATCTAGTCCATCCTCTTGGCCACTTTCCACTTGACCAGGTTGCTCCAAGTCCTGTCCAACCTAGCCTTGAACATTTGCAATGGTTGTGTATTCACAGCCTCTCTGGGCAACCAGTTCCACTGTCTCAGGATCTTCAGAGTCAAAAATTTCTGTCTTGTGTCCACTCTAAACCTCTCTTCTTTCAATTTACAACTGCTAGCCCTTGTCACATCACTACAAGCCACCTTTATATATTAAAAGGCTGCAACAAGGTCTTCTTGAAGATTTCTTTTTTCCCAGGCTGGACAGCCCAAACTCTCTCAGTCTGTCTTCACAGGACAGGTGCTTCAGTCCTCTCTTAGTTTTCATGGTCTTCCTCTGGACCCACAGCTACATGTCTTTCTTCTTCTGGGGCTCCTAGAACCAGATGCAATACTCAACTTTTTGCCCAGGAGTTTCCAGTGATAGAAGTGAAATCTATTTATTTATTTTCTGTTATTTTTTTCCAGTTGACTTGGCTAATCATTTATCATCCACAAAATACTGCAGCAAGGAGTTCCATGGCTTTCTCAGGTGTGAGGAGTCAGTCTCTTTTCCTTGTTCTGATTCTATCACCTGCCAATTCCATATGGTGCCACCTTTGCCTTATGTGCAGTCAGTCCCTGTGTGCTCCTTTTGGTGCTTATGGTTTTATAGAGGTTGCATTGGCTGTAGTGCAGTTGCTGATGAAGGACTTACTAGTTTCTCCACATGCTTTATGTATAGCAGGAACCAATCCTATTTTGGCTAAACTCCTCTCTTACTGAAAGCGTAACCAGTCCAGATGCTTGGTCTTGGGCTCCAGAGAATGCAAGAGAAGCAGATGTGTAAGAAAGATTTATTTTAGAAAGATGTCCTTCAACAGAAGCTCACCTGACAGCTTGCAGTAACACACCCTGGCCAGATTTTAATTTTGAGTCACCTTCTGCCCAGTCCTCTTGGGATTTAAAGGGATGTGGAGATCTCCATCCATCTGTGGCAGGATGGGGATCACCATTCTGGGTTAATGCCATTTTTACAGTCACACAGGCTACGTGCCTTTTCTGATGACCCATGGAGAGGAGCAATGGTAGGCAATGAGTAACAGGAGAGGTGATGCTGCCCCAGCAGCCTCAAAGGGAGATGGAGTAGCTGGGGGCAGAGAAATGGCCCTTTTCCTCAATACCATGGGTTCATTTTTGCCACTCCATACAGTATGATTTTGCCCTCTTGATGTTCTGCTTTGCATCCATTGGGATGATTCTGGTCCAAAATGTAGTCAGAGGGCCAAGGTGAGGCATTACAGTGGGGGAAAAAGTGACTAGTGCTGATTAAAGAGGTTTTTTCCCCAGCCTTGCAATTGGCAGAGCTGAGCCTCTTGCTTACACTGTGAAGAATTACATTTCTGCTAACACAAATATGTGTTCTGAGTTTCCCCTCTCCCAGCACATACTCCAACCACCCACCACTTGGCAGCTTGCCCTGCTGCCAGGCAGCTGCTCTCACAGAGACCTGAGGATTTCCTTCGTACTGCTCCCTGCCTGGGGAAGGATTGCACAGGTTTAGACTTGAGGATCATGTTCCCTAGAAGAGAGTGCTTGAGGGATTCTGGTGTCCCCATGCCTCTTCTCTGCTCTCCTTCCACTTTGGGACAGGCAGCCTTTCTATACACAGGCATGGGCTTTGAATACTGAGATTCACAATATGGTGCCACTGAAATGTGCTGCAGAGCATGTTTTCCAGGCAGTCACAGCATGCACATTATGATTAGCTGTTCCAAGAGAAAGCAAGGGCCTCCATCACTACAGGAGAGCCAGGGCTGAAATCATCAGGACTCTTTACACAGATAAAGCAAACTGATGCCAGAGGGTACCTGGGTGGCCCTGGGGTAAACCCATGTTGTGCAGTGATAAATCTCTCTCTGATTCTGTTGCTCACATGCAGAGTGAGTACCAGCATGGCATGGCAGCCTCCTCCTGCCTGGATCCTGCCTGTTGGGCTTGTTCTGTGTGTGCTGAATGCTCTCAGAGGCACTGGCTATGAGCAACCTCATGTGCTTCTTTATGGGCCTTAAAGGGCCTGCTCTGTGTGCCTGGTACCCAGAGGATGTGCAGTTGTGGTACCACCACAGCTCCATTGCTGGCTCTTTGCACAGGCTTGGTGTTGATGCTGCAGGTTTGAGACAGAGAGGGAGCAGATACAAGCTTGGTACTGTGGTGTGGAGCCACGGTCATCACCTATTGCAATGTTGGGGGTAGAATTTGATATAGATGAATGCAAATAAATGTAACTTGGGAGAAAAAAAAAGGGAGAGATTTTTTTTTAATAGATTCCAAATTAGCAGAACTGTGAAGCTCAACTGTTTTTTGAATATGGTAAAAATAAAACTAAATCTTTGTCCCTTTTAATTTGGGTCTCATTGCTGTTTTTATAAGCTGTGTAAAATGAGAAGAGCTCTGTAAGGACAAGAGATAAGGATGTAAGCAAATCTCTAGTTAGGTTAGTGTGAAATTTATTCCTGTGAATTTACATGGCTAAATGATTTGTCAGAGGAGCACACAACCACTTTGAAGGTATTTGGGATTGATCAGCACAATGGAAGTGGTACCAGCATTTAAGGTTAATCATCCAGTGACTGCATCCCATTCTTCCTTGTCTTGGAATATTGGAGGTAAAAGCAAACATCTTTGTTCACTCCAACAAAAATCTCTTTGGAGAGGTTTTTATGGTTTTCTCTGCAGGAGCTTTATCTAATCCTTCTGATGTGCTGGGAAGGAAGGGCACATTGCTCCAGTATGTGTCCTCCAGCTTCTAATTTGCTCACAAAGTCGGTGTTGAGTAGTTGAACTGATGATTTCTTAAGCTTGATTACTTTTTCATCTGCCTGTGAAATGTAGAATATGTAAAACCTCCTGTTCATATGCTCTCTGAGGATGTTCACGTCAGTCCCCATTGTGTATCATCACATCACCCACTGACTGCCACAGTGGCCATGGAAATTTAGGACCTGGTGGATGCTCTGCAGAGAAAAGGGACAAGGACATGTGGAGGCACATTGTAATTAACAAAAGTTGTGGGTTTTTTTTCTTGTTGGACGATGGATGGATGGATGTGTGTGTGTTCTTCCTTTTGTTTGGCATTTTTGTATTTCTTTAATTGATATGTCTCTTTGACTAGATCCTAGATCCAAATGGGCAGAGAAACTTGATCTGCCATGAAATTGTATTAGGAATTAATTTATCTGTCATATATCTGACATGACAGTGTGTTTCTGTGGAAGATACTGTGCTGTGCTCATACTCTAAACTGCAATTCACATGATCTCTTTTCTTTTTTTCACCCTGTGGAAGATTTTGGCTTTTTGGCAAAATTAATTTTATATACCAACTCCTTTCATCCCTTATATATTTTCAGAAATGCTATCTGAATCCTCATGATAGTTACAGCTTGTAGGTTCTCTGGTACAGGCTGGGCTCCCACACAATATATATGCATGTCCCTAGCTTGTTGGCTTTGCTTGAGCTACTTGTTAACTTGCCAACTCAACACCAAGAGGTCTTCAAAACACTATTATCCTCCCCCTCCCCCCAAATACTTCAAAAAGCTGGGTTTAAAAGAGATTTTCTGTAAGCATTAGTAATGGGATATAGAAAATAATACAAAGAATTGCAAAAAAAAGCATACATAATGTGCTTTTGTAGAACTACTATATTTAAGGAAAACATAATATGAGAATTTAATTCTGAGACATAAAAACCACAAACCAAAATAAAACTCACCAAACCCCAAGCACTCAAATATGTGGCCAGTTCTCTAGGCACATATTTTACCTAGTCCATCACTCTGGTTTTGAGATATAAAAAAGCAAATTCTTATCACATTTGCAACTGGGAACTGGGGCCTGACCATGAGATCACAGATTGATGAACATCCCCAAAAGCAGAATCCTTTAAGCACCAAGACAGCGCTTTAATAAAGCAAATACAGTATTATTTCATCCCAGAGGTGCTTAACTGGTAACCTTTTTTCTGGACAGACTCGCTCACTTTTTTTTGGTCTACTATTGTTGTCTTATTTTGCCTGAGGCAGTCTGTTATATCTGGTCACTTTTGGTTAGAAAGGTGCTAGGGCATGTTATTAATGACTTTTTGATTTTTCTTAATTTTACCTCTCTTTCTGGCCAATATTAAGCTCCCAATACTTGAAGACATCCCAGAGTTTATTGCAAGGTCTGCTGAAATCTATCTGCATTTTGTTGTCTCCTCTGTGCCGTTGCATAAGTTTGCTCTTTGTACTTTGGGTTGGGTAGAGTCAGTGGTTAGAGTCTGGCCAGTGGCAGGAGTTTTAGGTGCTTTTCTGAAGTGTATCCCATTCCAGGGCACCATGAGATTTAGGTGAGTCCCACACTGTGAACAAAACAATCCAGTAAGTGAAACTAATGAGAAGAGAAGGAAGAGATCAGACCCCACCAGACAGCTCTCACTGGACAGTACAGCAGCACTTGCAGATGGAAGATTTGGTTTTCAGAAGAGTTTTAATTGCCAGGTTTTCTGAGTTTATGTCAATAATAAAATATTCTGTGGAAGACAGGCTCTAGAGATGACAGGGGTCCTGCCCAACTCAGTGGTGATTCTTGACATGACTTCCTTGGTATACCAGCATGTTTATTTACAAAGAGAAGGTTTTGTTAGGTGTTCCCCACTCTCTTTGTTCCTTTTAGCACTCTGCGCTCACATAATCCCATATGCTTAATCTGCAAGAGCTTTCCCTTGCTGCTCTGTAAACCAGGCACCTCTTTTCCCTGTGCAGTTCTTACCAGTGCATGGCTGCATCCTCTCACAGCTGCTACTGTCTGAGGGACTATGCTTTTCTTCAGTGTCAATCTTTCTGACACTTCTGAGTGAAATTAAACCCCTCTATCTCTATTTAGCCACAGATGGGCCTTTTCAATGCCAGACAACCTCATCCCTTGCTACTCTATTATTAAGATAGCCATGTTTTCACCAGAAGTAAATACCAAGGATAAAGGAAGTTTGGGATCTGATGTGAATAGTGGTTGAAGAAAACAAAAACCCATCTGACTTATGACTTTGTCTCTGTACTGGTTGGTGGCCAAGGTGCCAACCGTTTCTATGACAACATTGAGGACATGATTGGTTACCGGCCGTGGCCCTTGATCAAGATATGCTGGCTGGTGTTCACCCCAGGTCTGTGCTTGGTAAGTGCAATTATGACATCATGACATATCACTCTGGGTCCCCAAATTCTCAGTGGAAAAGGCTGATTTATCTCCAAGGTGCTGCTGTAAATTTTTCAAACTGTATGGAGAAGCAGAAGCTTGTCCATAGCTGAGGTAGCTATTTATTTCCTTTGTAAAGCCTTATATTTTGCCTGGAAAATTAATTGAGCCTGAACATCCAATTGTTTATTGTGAAGGCAAAAGGAAATATGTCCTCAAAGCCTGGAGAGGTTTGGTCAAATTACCTATGAATAGAAAACCAGTGAAAATTATCCTGTTCTGAAATACTTGCTTCAGTCTGTGTTCCTGGGACTGCCCATGGTTTAGAAGTATCTTTCTATAGCCATTTGCTTTCTGTGTTATAAAATCTCTTCCAAAACATCTGAGACTGTGTTTAAATAAAATGCACCCAAATTCAGGCCAGTTCTTGCCTGTTTTAAATTTATGTCCAGTCTTGTTCCACTGACTTTTACATGCTTTCTCATGCTTTTGTATCTGATGTTGAGAGTTGTTTTCTTTGACCTCAATGGGAACACAGATGAGATCTATAGTTACAACTTACAAAAGATTCCTAGTCCTTTGTCCCCAGGCTTCAGCAGGACTTGAAGATCTGGGAAATTTTCAAACCAGCCCAAATTGTCAGAGAGCTTTGTAGCTAGAGAGCCCCAGGAGGGCTAAATCTGTGCCTGTGTGGCTTCTCCAGAGTGTTTCTGGCAGGCAGAACAACAATTCTTGTTTTTGGTTTGAATAAATTGCTGTCTTAATGTTGCTGGACCCTCAAAGCTGCTGCCAACTTTGCTTATGACTCTTCAGAAGCCTGAAGGCTTTAGACCGTCGAGATGCCTGGCCCTGGCTCTGAGAACTCTTTGTGCAGCCAGGCTCTGCTCACTGCAGCCAGCAAGGTCCCTGCTGGCCCATGCAGGACAGAACACCCATTGCCACCCTTGCAGAGCAGCCAATCCTTGCAGGGTGGCCTTGGCTGCCCCTTGGCTTTCCTTATGTTTGTGTTTTCTGCTCCCCAGGGTGTCTTCCTCTTTTCCCTGATCAAGTACACACCCTTGAAATACAACAATTCCTACGAGTACCCACCCTGGGGCTACATGCTAGGCTGGCTGATGGCACTCTCCTCCATGGTCTGTATTCCTCTCTATGCCATCTTCATCCTCCTGAAAACCAAAGGACCCCTGAAACAGGTACCTGGGATTGTGGTCACTGGGTGTGTTGCTGTTGCTCCCCTAGATGGTTCAGGGTGGGCCCCAGGGAGGAGGTACATGGCACATTTCTCCTCTGAGAAGGCAAGGGCTGGTGAGAGTCACCCTTCCCCAGAATGGTCTGTAGCTCTTGTTGGCAGTTTGGAGAGCTTGGAGGGTCTCAGCACAGCTCCCAGGCTGATCATCAAATGTCCAGTCTTCCATGTGGTGTTGCACCATCATGCTCGATGATCATGCAATATATAGACATATATGTAGCATATATGCAGTAGATACCAATGCAAACCAAGTGCAAAACCAAGATCTGCTTTGCCTTTACTTCTTGTCCCTTGTAGTCCTGGGTCAATGCCATGTTCTTTAAAAAAAAGAAATGACCTATAGTTATTAAAGAGGACCTGCTCACAGAGCTGTAAAGGCCTACCCTGTGCCATGCCTGAGCCTTCCTCTTTCACTGTAGACATCTTAGTCCTTGTCCTAGGAAGAACTCTATCTAGGGAGATGACACTTCATCTGACTCTTGAAGAAAGGTCTGAGTGATGTACAGTACATCTAAATTTCTACACAATTTCTCTACAGCTCCCTCCCCATCCCCACTGGGGCTGGTTGGAGGGTGGGGTGGGCAGAGGGAGCAGGAACAGGAGCATCCCTGTGGCTGTGGTGTAGGTGTGACAGCCACATTGTGGGTTCATGGAGAGGAGGACCCTGCATTGCCAGCACATCCAGGGATGAGCTGGATACAGGAAGTCTTTATTTGTTCCATTGTCTCAGGGAAGGTGAATCCGTGGCTGACGTGTCTGACTCCCCACAGCTCAGAAGCTTTTGATGTCTAAATGAGGGCTTGGAGCTGCCAGAGAAGTAATTGCCCACATGTCCTGCCTGTTAAACAAGCAATATCTCTCACCAGGGGTAAACTGCTTCAAGCCCTTGGACTGAAATGCTGCTGGGAATAGTGTTAATGCTCATTGTAGAGCACACCTGAGGATTGGCCCATTTCAGATTGAGGGGTTTTCTGTTTGTCCTGGTTTACATGATATTAATTGAAATTTCCAGGGACTCCTCAGTTACATTAGCATGAAGAAATTTCCAAGGATGTGGTTTAGGTGTAGTGGAAGCAATTGGCTGCTAAACCTGAGTTGATTCAGGGCAGAATCAAAGCCAGCCATTAAATACCTTCTAGGGTAGTTGCACCTGTTTTTAAAACAAAATTTCTTAAAATATATCTGTTCTCTTTTTCTAGTTACACCCCAGAATTGTAGTGAATTAATTTTCTGACACAAATTTTCAGGAACAGTCGTTGAATATTGCAAACCATTCACTGAAAGTGAATTCATTACAAGTTTGTAATTGGTAATCATGATCAGTCACTGCTACAAACTGATACCTCTCGTTACACTTGACTGACCAAAAAACAAAAATGTTTCCTAATGTCTCTGATTAAGAGACCTCAAGATCCAAAGACTAAAAACTCACAATGAAGTACCCACAGAGCAGCTGCAGACCAAGGTCAATTTTGGAAATCATGGGGCAAATAGTTTTGAATAAATTGACAAAATCTGTGATTCTGGCAGGCACTTCACAAGGAGTGGAAGCACTAAAATTAATCCAACGAGTCATGGATTAATTGCCTGCTCTGCTTGTGATGCACTCTTCACAGGAGCGAGCATGCACTGTCCTGAGCAGCTTGTGATGGAAAAAGTTAGTAACAGTGAAAGTCAGGTTTCAGCTGGGAAATGATTAAGCTGGCAGGTAGCTGCAGGATGGAAAGGGAAAGGAAACCAGGAGCTTAGGAAGTCATGTAGCACCAGTGAGACTTAAAAAATGGGATGAAAAAGACCAGAAATTGACTGCAGAGTCCCTGTGAGCCAGCACTTTTTGCTGAAGAGCTCAAAGATATTTTTGTTTTTTAAGAATATACTCCTCTAAGTTGTCCCAACACTGCATAGATGTGTGTGGAAAAGCCTGTAGCACCCTGCACTGCACAGGACAGAGGGAGCTAAGGGCAGGCAGCTGCCTCACAACCCCTGCCTTCACCATCGCAGTCTGGCTGACTGGAAGAGGGGAGCTGAGGATGGTTTGGGGCAGAAACCAGTCTGCAGAGGGACTGCTTTACCTGGGAAATGCCACTGAGGTAGGTATTGCCTACCACCCTGTTTTGGATCATAGCAGGAGATGCCCAACATCTGATGATCAGCCCATTTGAAATTCTTCTCAGCTCCCACGAAAATCAATGGAAAGCTACTTGGTAGAGGAAAAATAAAGGTTTTATTGTGTTTTTTTCCATTGCCACAGAAAATGTCTGTGGTGCTAATTGCTGGCATCCTCTCTCACTGTAGCAGGTCTGTGAGAAGTGCTGTACATCAGATTATCAGTCCACAGCCCAGATTTGAGCACAGAGACAGAATAATTGTCACTGAGAGCAGCTGAAGCTAACCTGCTCTCCTCCTCTGTTTCACGAGAACAAGAGGGAGCTGGGACGTGTGCTGTCTAGGTGCCTTTGCCCCCAGCAGTGGTTGTGGATCACAATTGGCTGTCAGTTTGCTCATCAGCTTAATTAACAGCAACTTCCTCTCTGCAGCGACTGATGCAGCTGATTTCCCCAGCGGAGGACCTACCACAGCCAAAGAAGAAGCACGTGGCGAGGCCGTCCGATCTGAGGTGTGAGGGATGGTCTCCTCCAACCCAGGAGCTGCTCAGCATCACAGAGAGAGAAACCCATTTCTAAGGCACCTGGGATGTTTCCTCCATAACCCAGACTGATTTGCTCTCTCCTTCCCAAAGTGGTTTCTTTTCCCTTCTCTTCTTCATGTCTATGATGGAAGCATCTGGGACAATTCCTCTCCATCCAGCCAGCTGGTTGCACCCACTGGCAACAGCATTTCTTTTACACCCTGGGGACAACTCTTTTGCCAGCAGCTGTGAAGACTGCAGCACGCTTTTGTCAGAAGTGCTCTTCATTACTGACATTGGTTGGGAAGAGAAAAACAACATTGTAGCAAAAAAAAGAAAAAAAAAAGGAAAAAAAGTGCATTGGTGTTGGGAGGAGGAAAAGAAACCACAGTGGTGAGGGTGGTGAGAGAGAGCAGAGATTAAAGGTGTGAAGGAGCCAAGTTAGGGATACAAAAGCAGGAAATGATGGGGTACTAGCACGGGAAATAAGTATGTTGGTTCAGAAGTACATAAGAAGCTGGAGGATGACAAAGAAAAGTGCATTACTAGGTCACCTCTGTACAAGGGAGAGAGAGCCAGGAATGTATCATAGCCAATGACAAAAGGAGGCTGCACTGTCAGTAGTTACAGCTTCAGCTGTCGCTGGAAGGGAAAGGAGGGACAGGGTGCTCGATGCAATCGTAGTTGTTGATGATGGATCTCAAGGCAGTCTCAGTCTGGAAAAGGGGGTGAGGAATGACTGTCTAAGGAGACTTGCTCTTGGTCAAAACTACACGGCCCACTGAAAACGCATCCAAGAGTGAAACCGATGAACATTTGACAATTCTTTCAGAAAATTCATGGAGTGTAGGAAAAGTCTCAGAGCAGCTGGTAAGAAAAAGAAAAAGAGCTTCAGCACAGCTGGGAAAATGAGACCCTGAGGACTTCACGCCCACAAATGTAACTGCACTGCTGGGGCATTTTGTCGAGGAATTATAGAAGGAGTTGATGGGCCTGATCCTGTGCTGCAGAGTAGCTTTGGGAAGAGGATGGGAGAATGATTGCACTTCCTTGGCTTTGCTGTGGATGACTGCTCAGGGGATAAGGAAGGCATAATCAGGTGCAATAATCATCAGCTTAGGCGAGATAAAGCAAAATAAATAGGTAATATGGGTTCATTGGAAGCAGATTGTGTCGAATTAAAGGTTGGTTGTTGCCAGGGTAGTCAAAAATGTGAGGCAATGGGTGGGAGGAAATGTGCTCTGCTGCCGGGTTTGGTGCAGTGCCAGATGACTCTGTCCTGTGGAGGCTGGGGCTGTGAAGATCCCTGCCAAATCCTGCTTCAATGCCTATCAAAAATTCACAGTTAAACCCACCAGAAATGCCAGTGGCAGGACGCAGCCAGGAGCTTTGCTGTGGACAAGGGTACATGCACTGGTGCTGCAATATTGGCACATCCAACCACGCCAGAGAATGGTCATCAGAATGAATCACAGATGCCACAGGCTGCTTTCCCCTGTTCCTTGTTCCAAGTAATTGCTTTTCCCTGTGCTGTGTGGAGATAAACGTCCGGCACCAAAAGTGAGCGCAGAAATCAGGCCTCATCTGTGCAGCTCAGTACCTATTCCAATTGCTATGGGAACCTTATCTGCTGCAGTTTCCTCTGAGCTTAACTGGAGAATTAGCATAGGACAATCTTTTCCCCATTTAATTTCCTTTCCTTTAAAAACTAAAAACTACGAACTGCTGGTGAAATGAACACTGAAAGTCAAGTATCAGAATTTGTACCTCTCTGGCACATTATCATTTAAGATGTTTTACTGTGGAAGATGGAGAAGGCTGGCAAACCTCATTCACATTCCCTGCAAAGAGCTGCAGCACCATATAAGACATAATTTATTGTATTTTTATTTTTTAAAGAGCTGAATGTCATGCTGCAAATAGCTGTGGGAAGAGCTTAGCACCCAGAGGCTTGAATTCAGGCCTCATGGTAAGCAGTTCAGTGATTTTTCCTCTCTCTCCCACCAATGTTCTTCATAATTTGAAGGGGGAAGCAGCTCCCCCCAATCTTGATTCCTGTACAATCCTTGGTAGGACATTTAGCCCCTTTGCTCCTGCTGGCAGGCCTTCAAGATGTGAGGTAGTGTCTTGCTGTCAGAGAAATCATGGAGATCTGTTCACTATTTCTGAGGCAGTAGAGTAACACTGAAAAAATCCTAGATAGAAACAAGTAACTCTTCAGTTTGGAACACAAATGTGGTGCTGTGTTATTGACTGCATGAACTTATTCCTGTCGCTTCTGTATAATCCGACAATAACATCCCACCTCTGCCAGGCAGCGACTTATTTTAATAAAGCTAGAGGAGGTATTGGTGTGCCCATTGAAAGCAATCATAAAATTCCCAGGATCAGGAAATTAATCCAGCTTCTTTGGATGGAATTGACAAAGTCAAGTCCAGGAATTTTAAGTCAAAGCTCAGTGACCCATGTAATTTAATTCCCTTTCCTTTAAAAACTGAAACACCCACATACACCCAGCTGGGGAAACAGGGGGAAATGCCATCAGTGGCTGTGTTTTGCTGTGTGACCCCCAGCACAATTAGAGACTGAGTAGTGGTTTGTTAAATCTGTACAAATGTCTCAGGCATTGCTGCATGGATGTGACAGATCTGGTAGGTCTTCATCAACCCCTGGAGCTGGGCACCTCTGGAGAGCTCTGAGTCTGATGGGAAACTGCTCCTCTCCTGCACACCACCAGGAATACACTGCTGAAGGATTGGTATGGAGAGAAGGGAGAGATATTTTTTCCCCTGTAATTGTTGATAACATGCCAAGACATGATGCATTTGAAACTGAAGTCCAAGAGAAGGTACGAGGTTTTCATACTGTGCTACTCCTCCCAGCTGGAATTAAAACACTGTATTCAGAAGAAAGGACATACACCTGTAAACACCTAACTACCACTTCTGGGTTTCCAGTTTGTTCTTTGTTCTGGTTTTGGTTTTTTGGGGGGTTTTTGGGGGGTTTTCTTTCTTCTTTTTTTTTTTTTTTTTTTTTTTTTTTTTTCATAAAAAGGCCATTTTCACCCTTCTCTCCAGAAGGAAAAGACAGGAACAGAGTTTGTTGAAAAATACATCAAGCCAAAAGGCCTTGTGTTATCCTTCTCCATCCTGTTATTCTTGTTCCCCCCCTCTTCAGCCTTCCCTCCCTTCTTCCTTTGACAGTGATAAATGGCAAAAAAAAAAAAAAAAAAAGGAAATGGTCACTGAAAACTTGTATGGGACAAAATTTGAAGAAAGAAAGATAAAACTATCAAATAGCACCAGGACATCTTCAACTTTTGTAGCTCCAACCCTCAACATAGTTTTCTGGGGGAAGGAGAATTGCAGTGGGAATTCTTCTTGGCTCTCAAACGTTCTTCTGTCCCAGGTGATCATGGTAGCACTCAAGCAAAGGACAATGACCTGCTGTAGCTTCCAATGAGCTGGAGGTGCAGCCATGCCCTCCCTCCAGCCCTCATCTTAGCTTTTGGGCTGGAGAGAAGCCATGCCCATCACAGCCCTAATGCAGGGCTTAACTAGCAAGGACTGGAACCCCCGCTTCATCCTGAGCAAAGCTCTTGATTTCCCCTGTGCAGTTATTGCAGTTTGCCAAGGATTGGAAGACAAAAAAGGGTGGTAGGGATTGGACTGGAGGAAATGAAATATTTTAGAAGAACAGGGGTTTTCAGATCTCAGGCTGTGGTTATGTTGTGTGAGTTATGGGTATTCTGCAGTGGCTGTGTGGTTTGTGCTGGAACCTGGGGACTTCCCTGAGATTTTGCTTCCCTGGTGTGTGGCAAGAGGAGTTTGCTCAGGTGCTTTTCCCATCTTGAGGAGAGGTGAGGCTTGCACAGGTAGAAATTAGAGACATGAGCCAAGTGACTTAGTTGCACAGTAAATGAGAACTGGGAAAAAGACTGTCAGCAGTCTTGAGGGCATATGGAACACATCAGGTCTTCTTGCAGTCCTTTGCTTTATCAGGTGCATGTGCTTACATATAGTGACCTCTTACTAATTAGCTAAATTGTGTTTGAACGGGGTAAGAGGGGAGTAATGTTCATCAAAGGAGAAGAACAAATAATAACTTATTTCAAAAATTAAAGATTAAAATTTAAGACTCGAGAGGCTGAGGAGATGAGCACATGTTGCTATCCAGTTCCCTGTGCAGGGTTGCAGGAATAAGCTTGAGGTATTAAAGTGAAAGATTTTACTCCTGAACCTGCCAAGGGAAGAGAAGAAATGCACCTAACAGTGCATGGATGGACACTGCAGAGGTTATTTGCTTTGTATAGTTTTTTAAACCCACAATAAGCCCTTGCCCCTTCAGCTGCTTCTGGACCATGATCCGGCTCTGGTTTGCATCCCTGACCCACAACTGCAAATTCATGCATCCATGAATTTTCAGAGCAGTCTGTTCTGGTTTGTCAAGTCTGAGCTTGGAAAGCTATGTGGAAAGAAAAGGGATTCCTAGGGAGAAATGCTTTCAATGGCTGTGCAAAGCCTGTTGTGGGCAATTCCATCCTGTCTTGGTTTTTGTGACATGCCAAGGCCATTCTGTTAAATGGCTTTCTGATTTTTTTTCTCCTGTTTGGTTTGGTTTTTTTACAGGCTGTAGAATAGTTTCCTGCCCAGCCTGGGTTACAGCCAGAATGGGAGCTGTGGACGAGGATGCTGGTTTGGACCAGAGGCATGCTTATGCTCAATCATTATTTGCCAGTGGCCACTTTTCCAAAACATGCTTTATCGAGTGTGCAGCTTTTGTTGCACCATGGTGTAGACAGTGGTCTCTGGAGGAGGATGGCAGATCACAGGCCATCTGGTGCCTTTCTGGACCTTGTGTTTTAACAGGACATGAAATAAGCTTCTTTTGCTCATGGAGAAATAAACCCTCCCTCAAGCATAAAAGCAACCTGTCACTTTCACATATCCTGGAGAAGGGCCATCACTATAACATGAGCTTCCTCCCCACTTTCTAGCTTTGAAGTGAGGATGACCTGAGAGCTGGAACTGGGGTTTCTTAATCAATCTCTCCAGA